TCGGTATCGATATCGGTTATCGGCTACATGAGTTTTAAAATATCGGCATATCGGATATCGGCCAAAATCCCAATATCGTGCATCCCTAACCTAATGCAGATATCTTTAGTAGGGCTGGGTATTTTTGTCAAAGTCTTGAATCGATTCCATTTTGATTCATACAGTTCTAAATTGATTAATTTCAATTCGATGTTTTTATAATAATGAAAGTGGTTCAACTGTGTTTCAAAATACTCGTCTTTTAATTTTTCCTGTCACATTAAACGCAAAGTGCAAACTTGTAAATCAGCCAGTTTAAACATGAGATGTGACCAAAACGGTCTCATAAGTGCAAACTTGTTTGTGAAAAGTGAAAAAGTGAAGCCTCACTCGAGCAAGCAGACGTGACACAGCAGACATGCATGAGCTGCATTGTCTCCACTGCATAAACCATATGCGCAGCGTTAACTGTTACAACTACAGGGTGTTTGCTGGTCAGCCCCCGTTTGTTAATGTCTTCAGTCAACTTGTTGGCTATATTTGCAGCTGTCTGCTTGGACTAATCTTGAGTGCATCTTTCCTGTTACCGTATTTTCACAACTATAAGGCGCATTTAAACGTCTTTTTTTTCCCCTCAAAATGTGCGGTGCGCCTTATGTGTGTGTTAAATACAGTAATGGCACACATAACTGAGACTGCGCCTTTTAGTATGATGCACCTTATGGTCATGAAAATATGGTAATTTGAATGTGAACGTCACGCGCGTCACTATAAAACTAATCGATCTCATTCTCTAGACATCGATTTTGCAAAACTGTAAAGGAAGCGATTCAAAATCCATTAAATCGATTTTTTTACCCAGCCCTAATCTTTGTATATTTAGTTACTCTAATATTAAACAGTTTTATCTCAAATATTATCTGAAATGTTTTTTATTTTTAATGGTCAGAGTGTCAATTTGGGGCCCCCCCATTTTCCTGGACCTGTGATTATTGACCCGTTTGTCCCCCCCCTGTCGGTGGGCGTGCTCACTTGATCTGCTGTGAACACGTACAAGACACAAAGCTCAAAGCACAATTATACGTTTACTCCTGATTTCAATCGAAGGTCAAATTTAGATCCAAATGTGCTTCTTCTATGCTTAAACCAAACTTAGCTGGCATCTTTTAGGGGTAACTATAGAGACCAGCTGCTAAACCCAGAGATGTAGTTGTCTTTCCTAAGATGTAATCTTGTATTTTGGTGTTATTTTCTATATTTGCTTATGTAATGTTGGTTTTCTGTGTATATTTTACTTTGTGCTGAACAGGAAGCTGCTGTTAAACAGTGATGATGCTGAGCCAGGCCTGATTAATCTCATCAAATATCAGTTCTGATCAAATATCAGTTCAGTTATTGTCATGATAATATCAAACTATTGTTTGGATAAACCGTGGCGAGGGCGTCTTACCAGCGGGGAGTACGATCGGCTCCAGGACTGGGAGGTAACTGGAGCGTGGGGTACGGTCCTTCCCACTTCCACGGTCGGAGACTCTGAGTCTCTAGTGCTTGTGGCGCTGTTGTACCGACGCGTGGACACCTTGGACAGATAACACAGAGCAACACGGAGAAGTTTGTCATCTGCTTTGCATTCTGGGTAACGCTAGACCCTTCCTGAGAACATCTTCTCTCTCACCTCTGCCGGTTTAGTTCCTCTCTGCGCCGCTACAGCTGCTGCGCCGTTCCCAGTGTCCTCCATGTCGACGGTGGTCGCACGATACGCTCTCCATGTTTTTGAAGCCTCTGCTTCGTCTCCAGCTCCCCCGTCTGTCAGAGCTTTGCTCCTCATCTGTCCTCGACCCGCCTCCTCCGCTCCTCCTCTGGTCCTCCATGTGCTCCTCACAGTCACATTCTTTATGTCTGATAAAGTGTCGTCCTGGGAGTGCTCGGTCTGGATGTGGCTCCTCCAGCTGGTCACCGTGGTCGTCGTGCTGCTGCCGCTCTCAAACCCAGACTCGGTGTCGTTGAACTCTACTGAGGCACTATCTGAGGACTGGCGCCTGCCGATGGCGTGCTGGTGACCCGTGGAGATGCTGCTGGTCTCCACCCTGGAGGGGCTGAGGAGTTTGGACCTCGTCGGCGCGTCGCTGGGTTCATCGGTGCCGCCGTCCTGGTCTGAGCACGAACGCAAACCGATTTCACTCTTAGATATGGAGATCTCATATGGGACGGATATGCTGCCGCGATGGTCACTGCTGGGCCCTGAGAACCAGAACCACAGGAAAAAACTCATAACAACATTTATATGTCAGACATGTTAATCATGGAGGATCTGATAAAGACTGAAAATACCTTTTTCTAGAAAAACCAAAAAAAAAAATTATATTTTATTATTTAATGTATAAAATAATTATCAACTTATATTTTCATCATAAAACATAATTATTAATGTTAATAGTATTAATGATTAAAGTAACACAAAACGTGAAAATTTACTAAATGATAATTTCCTAAAATAATCAGTCTTGGAGAAACAGCCGAGCGCACAGCTGGTGTTCAACGTGGGAAGAGCAGACGGAGCGCGTGCGGAGACAGAGCCGAGCATGCGCAAAGATGGAACTGTGTGCGAGGACAGTGGGTTGAGAAGAGCTTTTCAGAGTTGAGCGCCTGTTGTCTCACTGCGCGCTCCAACTGGTTCCTGCACGCTCAAACAGAAGGCACAAATACCGTTCCATAGCGAGGCTGATCTGGCAGGGAGTCAGACACAGCACTGCTGATGCAGAGCGCTATGATTCCTCCTCTGAAACGGTTTATTAACGCCTAAATTAACTTAAATTGAGAAACCTGTCGGCTAAATATGTTCGCTTTTATTATCCTGGTTTCTACAGTTTGGATTACATACGTGAAAAACGTTAACATTTACTTCTAGCCGCCACCAACAGTAGGGGAAAAACCCAGTGACAGCGCACCGCCGGTATGTGGGGGTCTGAGCGGCGCCCACAGTGAAATATTTGAAGGCAGGATAGTAATCTGGATGAACTGACTGCACAGACCATGTTTTCAGGTGGACTTTCTCAATTAAAAATAAATTAAATTCGTAGGGAAACAGCCGTTCCAATTGTTGTATTTCCGAATGCTCCGGAGTGGTGCCCGACTTTACACGAGTGAATAAAGTGAATGCGATTGGTCGTTTATCAAGGGATTGTGTGATGGAAGGTTCGCAAGCACGTTCGGTTGTGGCTCATTTCTGGAAAGCATCTTGCTAACCAGTTAGCAAGTTAATGCTAGTAGGTTCCCAATGGGAAATTCCATTGGGACCAAGTAGCACTAAATTGGTGACTTAGAAACGACACTGTCAAGGAACGCTATGGACAGAGGAAACATGCAAGAGGAGGAGAGTTTAGTGTCGGAGGTCGTGGATGAGTCTCCTCCGTCATCCATTTTTTATTTAGAGGAGGAAAGCGGGGACGAAGATGTTGTGGAAGAGGACGCCAGGGCGGCAGAAGCTTGGTTTGGTGTAGAAGGCTTCCAGCCGTACATGTTTGAGCCCTTGCCTCGCAACGCTGCCAGTTCTGTTAGCTCTACGCCTGCTGAAGACACAGACGTCCATCCCCGTGAACACTGGGACGGAACTCAATGGGAAAGGAAATGATTCTGGATTCTGATTTAAACCGTTGCGTATATTAGCTGCAAAATATGAATCAAGATGCTATGACCGAAAAAATTTGATTGACAGAAGATCGTTGATATATGATTGGCTGAATTTAGGTGTTCAGGCTGACGTAGAACTAACTGGCCTGCAGAAGATAATGAAAAAAACCCCAAAGATTTTAAGACAGGATTTTTATAAAAGCTGAAATTTTCTAAATTCTGGGACAATATCGTCTGATAAAAAGTACATTTATATACATGTTTAAGCCAGAATGATTTAAAATTTAAATATGATTTCCCTACGACTTTAAAACAACTTTTTACCCTCTTATAACACAGTAAATATAGCAAAGCCACTCTCTGTATGGAACACAGGAGCAGCAGAAGCATCAGACGCATCTGGACACACTTTACTGGACGTCTGACCTTAATGTGGACAAGCATCAAAACTGAAGCAGCAGACGCTTTGTTCTGATAAAATCGTGTTATGTGTGAATGTAACGTTACAGTTATTGTTGTTATCATCACTGCTAATGTTGGTAATTAAGACCTTTCCAGTCTGTACCTACCTATGACGATGTTGCTGGTGGACGTGTGGCGCTCCTTCACAGGCAGCGGTTCGCTGGATAAGCTGCTGCTGCGGCTGCTTGTCCTCGAAGAGCCCAGGTCACTGGGGTAGATGGTTATGCTGCTGGTCATTTTGGAGGTGGCGGTCAAAACCGGCTTGGTTGAGATCTTTGGTTTACCGTTGGTTGACGAGGAGTCAGAAATCATGACTTCCTTCCTGTCGATCTCGATGATGGCTGGTTTAATGACGGCTTTGGAGCGCAGGGCCTCTCTTGGGCTGCAAACTCTCTGGATCTCGATCGGCGACGGGTTCAGGTGGCCTCCGTCTAAAGCCTGTGTCCTGGTGTGTAGGTCCTCGTCAAAGGAGCTCCTGGAAGACGAGCCCTCCGAGTGCGAGTCCTGGACATGTGGGTATCTGGAGTACCTAGAGGTCGGCGTCGTCCTGCTGCTCACAGGTGGACACACCGTCTCAGCCACAGGTTCTACCTCCGAGGGCCTCGATCCCGTAGATTCGGTTTCAGAAGCAGATGACTGACTGTCTGAGCCGTGGTCGTTGGGCAGCAGTGAAGTGATGTGAGATCTGTACGCCGGGTAAGAACCATTGGCTTTAGCTAGAGTGGCGGATTCCTGAACTCTGTCTACTGGTTCCTGGTAAGTGGCCGCCACCTCCTTCTCCAGTGCGGACACGTCGTTCACGCTAACAGAGCTCTCAGGCACAGCATCAGAGCAGTTGGACTCACTATCGCTGCCTATGTAGGGTTTAGAAACCCTCTCCCTTTTTTTAATCTCTGGATCGGTCTGTTTGAACTGCGTCCTCAGAGGCTTCTGCTCATTAGCGGCTGGAGGGTAGCGGCTCAGGACGGACACCTTCTTGACATCTGATGATGAGTTTGCAGAGCCGAACAGAGTTCCTTTAGGTCTCTCCTCGGAGAACCTTGCTGTGATTCCGTTATCAGACGTGAGGGCAGTAGGCGGGGCTCTGGGGGTCCTCCTCCTCTGAGCTGGACTCAGAGCTCTCCTCACCGACTTTGGAGAACCCTCCTCAGATTGGCTGAGCTCTTTGCTCCTCAGCTTGGTTTCTCTCCTGGGCTGAGGAGACAGCTCCCGGATCCTGTGCTTCGGAGAGCCCGGTTCAGGAAAAGCCGCTGAACTTTTAAACTTCGGCTTCTCGTGCCTGGCGGCTCCCTTTGACGCCCACTCCTCGTTCTCAGCTTTGCCGTTCTCCAGGACCTTTGCCGGGTTTCCCACTCCTCTCCCCCCTACTCCAGCTTTTCCAGACATCTGGGTCCGGAGCTGCTCCACCTGTTCGCCCAGTTGACGAGCTCGCTGTTGCTCCACCTGAAACTTCTTGTGAAGCTCGCCGTTCTTGAACTGGGAATCCTTCAGATCCTCCTCCACTAGCTCCAGCTGCTTCAGGCGGTTCTTTAACTTCTCTACTTCTTGAGTGAGCTCTTTCACTTTGTTGTCTTCCTCCTGTGAGCCTTCCATACTGCTGCCCTTCTTCATCTCAGACTTACTGACGATGCCCAGCTTCTCATCGGCTAGCTTCAAGTAGTCTAGGTTCTTCTTCCCAGCTAGTTTACTTGTGAAGAGCGCAGTGGAGGAGAGTTCATCTTCGATTCTTGAATTCATGAAATCTGTGCGACCCGATTCTGTTGTCAGACCGAAACGGTTCTTTTTTTCTTCCGTGAGCTTCTGGATGATCCTCTCATCCTCTCTTTGTTTTTCTGTCAGCCTCTTGCGTTCACTGACGAACGCCTGCGTGAAGGCTTTAAGCCTGTCCAGCTCTTTAGCCAGAGCCTGCTCTGCTTTGTCCAGCCTCGTCTCAGAACCTTCCAGTTCCTTCAAGCGGGATTTGAGCATTTCCAACTCCGAGGAGAGCTTCTTGGTGAGGTTCTTCTCCTCGTTGAGGCTGAGGCAGAGTTGGCTGCAGTCAGATTTGCTTTTGGCAAAAGCTTCTTCCAGTTTCTCCAGTTCAGCCATCCTCCGCTGAAGACGCTCAATCTCCCCCTTTAGCTCCTTGGTGAGGCTTTCCTCTTCTTCTAGTTTCTCTCGAACTGTGCGACAGAGGTCCTCAGCTTTGCGTACCTCCTCATCCTTGCCCTGGATCTTCAGGAGCCGTTTCCGTAGGTCTTCCACGTCACAGAGCAGGGACGAGTTACTTCCCTCTGCCTGGATAATCTTGTCCTACAAAGGAATATGTTTATTAATTCATTTTGTCTTTAATATCCTAAAATAAATCTTTTCCTGATCCTTATTGTGACCATAAACCAATCATTTTATACATCCTTATTCATACAGCAAGAGATGTTAAGCTAATTAACATCAGAGTTAATTTTCCGTCCAGTTGAACTACTTTTGTCTACTACACCTCAAATATCCCAGATAGTAGCATATTTAAAAACAAATTATTTATTCTGTTAAAAAACAAAATTTCAAACAGAAAAATATTTTCAGTTCTAAATTGTTTTCAAAGTCATGCATTTATTTACAGTTTGATTTAATCTGAATCTTTTGCATTTCTGTGTTTCTCCACTAGATGGCTCCACTTTTGCCCAGGCAGCAGAACTTTACAGTTTAAGCCGTTTTCAGTGAGGTTGCCATCATAAAGAATACATTTATTTGCCAAAAATGACTAAAGTTATGGCTGCACAGTGGATAAGGTTCTGGGTTTGATTCCCTTCCCGAGATCTTTCTGCATGGAGTTTGCATGTTCTCCCTTTGC